CTTCCCCTTTTTCCGACACCTTAAACCTTATTTTAATCCCTTCGATAATCCTAAGGCCGTTTATAGCACTATCTCTGTGAAATAACACGAGAATATCGTCTATAAAGAAGATAACGAATACGTCTTAAGCCTTAGTATAGAACAGGCACGGTTCTTTCTTACTAGCCTCTATCCCTAAGTCTATTAGAGTGGCCGCGAAGGTCCGGAACTATAGTCTAGGCGAGTCGCATAGTTTATATAGTGCTTTATTAAGCTCTAAGTACTTATCAGGCTACTTAAATCTATCGAGAAGTTCGTATATAATAGGCGTCCCTGTTTTACTCCTCTAGGCGTTAACGAAGGCGTTAACGATATTAAGTTACTTAATCTCTAGATTAAACTAAGTAGCCAGGGCTATAATAATGCGAAAAGATCGTGTAGCGAGCGTTACTACGTAGGTTCCCTTAATTATTAAGCTCTCCTATAGGTCCCCTGGAATATATAAGCGTGCCTTATATTATTCGAGATATCCGTCTTAGTCGAACTTATTGATATTATTATCAAATAATATCTAAGTATATTTTATAATAATAATTATATATAAGCCTCTAGCTTAATACCAGAGCTCTATAATAATATAGCTATACTTATCTTATACTTAGATATATCCTCGATTTATATACGAGATTATCTCCTATATTGAATATCTAATAGTCTACTATCGAGGATAGTATTATATCATGGTGTGATGTAATAGACTATATCGTGCAACCACGACTGAACTTATAGGTAAAAACCCACTTTAACAGAAGAGGCATTAACTTCGCCTCTAAGCGCTTAATTTCTCTTTATATACACTTCTTAATTAGCTTATTTACCTCCTTCTACGCGGCTTCCTTAAACCGTTCACGTATCGGGTAGTTAGTAAGCTCCCGCTAATACCTTAGTATAGCCTTTAGGTGGTCGCGATAAACCCTACCGTCGATTAAGGGCTTCGGTGACGTTATAGCCTCTCTTTTAGTATTCGAACGGGTATTTATTTTCGTATCGGCCACTCCGAGGATTATTAAATTAAAGGTTAGAAGCCCTTTTAGCCCGTCCTAGCGCTCTTCTTATTAATTAGATAAGAAAAAGGTATATATAAAAGGATTATCCAGCTCTGCCTAATATATCCGTGGATTAATCCGAATAGTCTTTCCTTAAGCACGGCGATCGGTGATTCTTACGCTAGCGCGCGTTACTTCCTTTACTAGTATACTCTTTTTCCTTTAATAGGCGGTTACCTTAGGAGTCGGTCGGATAGGTGGTCTAGATCCGGACGCTATAGTGCGGCTAGTGCTATAGTGCGGATTAGGGGTAGCTAGTCCCTATACCGTCGCCTACGTACTCCTTTCTATAGTTAAAATCGTCGAAGTATCCGTATTAAGCTCTAGTATATATAATCCTAGCATATCGGTTACGGTATTTTCTTTTATAGCCGCTTTATTATCTTATTAGTCGGAAGAATTATTCATTAAGAGTTCCTCCGAAGACTATAGCTCTGCGCTTATAACCTAAAGATTCCTGCTCTAAGGATTAGGTGTTACGCGTGGGGTTTAAAGTCCTGGTACGGGCGGTTCGGGTGCACTGGGTGTATCTAGTAGTGGCGACGAAGCGTCTAATTTAGCCTCTGCTACTCCTACCCCCGAGTTCGAACCCGTGGACTATACTTATTCTCTAAAAGGTACGCTATTAATTAATCTACCCGGAGGGTAGGCCTATAGGATAAAGTCGTTATCTTTATCTTCTTATATTTCGTAAGTTATAAGCTAGTTCCTCGCCTCGGGCTCCGGGATCTATTCTGCTTCTTCGAGCTATAGTTTATAAAGTAGCTACTTGTTAAACTATATATTACGCGTTATAATAACCTTCTAAAGCTATAGAATCTATACTCGGTAAATATTATAGGTAATATAACCTATAAGATACCTAATATATCCCTTTAGTTAAACCTTATATAGTTTCCTATTCCTCCTAGCCTCCCTATCCCTCGCTATTAGATAGGCGCAGCAGCTATAGGTATAAATACCACTCTAATTAGGGCGTAGGTTAGCTATATACTCTCTTACCGGAATCGGCGTATTATCTCTAAACTATAAGTCGAGGATTTCTACTAGGGATTTCTATCCGTGTTATTATAAGGGACTTATATTATATAATAACACTGCCGTTCTAGTGCTTTCTGGCTATTTATCTAGTGGAATTCCTGCTCCGTTAAGTATAGTATTAGACTTTATGATAATTAGTTAACCGGCTCTTTCGCTGCCTCTGTTCGGTTTATAGGTGTATAGCGGTGTAATTTCTATATCGATCCCTTGACTGCTCGCCTATAGCTGGGTTATTGAATCCCCTGCTAGATGAACGATTAAGGGCTTATTATTACTGCGTATCTTATAGATATATAATATAAACTACCGGTTAACCTATCGTTTAAAGGCTTATAACGTGTTATAGACTATAACGCTATTTTTCGAAGCTAAAGGCAGCACATAGATCTAGCCGCTATATTCGTCCTTTATTATAAGAAGATATCGTATACCGTTATAGCTTTTAGGTAGCTCTTAAAGATCCTAATAAATACGCTAAAATAGTTATAGGGAGCGGTATTCTAACGTATATCGAGATATAACTTAATGTGCCTAGGTTCTGGAGTATATCTCGTAGTCTATTCGCTTAGTTCCCTTAATTAATACGTTCCTGGCGTTACGAACTAATACTCGTAGAGCGCTTAGTCTAAGATAGCCTGCTCTTAAGTGCTATAGCTATTCTTCGTCTACTCGTGGATGCGGAGGGTCGCGGGAAGGTCGGTAATATCGGTAAGCTCTTATTAGTCGATCGACTACTATAACTAGTATATATTAATAGTCGTAATTAATCGGAATAATACCACGTAGTATCGGTTAGAATAACGAATAAGAAGAAGAAGATAAAATTAGCTTATACTAAAGGATAGTTATATTAAAGCGTCGAAGCAGCTTTAATAAGACCAAGCTCTTCTCCGCCGTTCTAAAGCGTAACGAGCAGTTATAACCAGAATACTAAATCCTAACCTTATATAATAGAGCTTCCGATATAATATTCGTGTGATATCCCTCCACGACGACTATATCGTTAAGCTCTAAGTCAGCTTTCGGAGCACCTAAAGGTCTATTAAGGATTCCTTTAAGAAGCCGTTTACCTTTACTAATAATCGG